TCCGGGAGGCTCCTGATAAGAGGGGAGCTCCTTCTTCCCCTTTTCTCTGGAGGGGATCAGAAATGACGTCATGTGCAAGCCACGTATAGGCTCCTTGCACTGACGTCACATCGCATACTTTTGGACACCAAGTAAAAGGAGAAGAGGGAAGCTGCTTTTGTAAGAATTTTGAGTGACAGGTTAATCTTCTATAATCTTCTGGGAGGAGAGCAGCGACGCCCGTGTTAATCCGGGAGGCTCCTGATAAGAGGGGAGCTCCTTCTTCCCCTTTTCTCTGGAGGGGATCGGAAATGACGTCATGTGCAAGCCACGTATAGGCTCCTTGCACTGACGTCACATCGCATACTTTTGAACACCAAGTAAAAGGAGGAGAGGGAAGCTGCTTTTGTAAGAATTTTGAGTGACAGGTTAATCTTCTATATTCTTCTGGGAGGAGAATAGCGACGCCCGTGTTAATCCGGGAGGCTCCTGATAAGAGGGGAGCTCCTTCTTCCCCTTTTCTCAGGAGGGGATCAGAAATGACGTCATGTGCAAGCCACGTATAGGCTGCTTGCACTGACGTCACATCGCATACTTTTCAACACCAAGTAAAAGGAGGAGAGGGAAACTGCTTTTGTAAGAATTTTGAGTGACAGGTTAATCTTCTAGAATCTTCTGGGAGGAGAATAGCGACGCCCGTGTAAGTCCGGGAGGCTCCTGATAAGAGGGGAGCTCCTTCTTCCCCTTTTTTCAGGAGGGGATCAGAAATGACGTCATGTGCAAGCCACGTATAGGCTCCTTGCACTGACGTCACATCGCATACTTTTGAACACCAAGTAAAAGGAGGAGGGGGAAGCTGCTTTTGTAAGAATTTTGAGTGAGGTTAATCTTCTATAATCTTCTGGGAGGAGAATAGCGGCGCCCGTGTAAATCCGGGAGGCTCCTGATAAGAGGGGAGCTCCTTCTTCCCCTTTTCTCAGGAGGGGATCAGAAATGACGTCATGTGGAAGCCACGTATAGGCTCCTTGCACTGACGTCACATCGCATACTTTTCAACACCAAGTAAAAGGAGGAGAGGGAAACTGCTTTTGTAAGAATTTTGAGTGACAGGTTAATCTTCTAGAATCTTCTGGGAGGAGAATAGCGACGCCCGTGTAAGTCCGGGAGGCTCCTGATAAGAGGGGAGCTCCTTCTTCCCCTTTTCTCTGGAGGGGATCAGAAATGACGTCATGTGCAAGCCACGTATAGGCTCCTTGCACTGACGTCACATCGCATACTTTTCAACACCAAGTAAAAGGAGGAGAGGGAAACTGCTTTTGTGAGAATTTTGAGTGACGGGTTAATCTTCTAGAATCTTCTGGGAGGAGAATAGCGACGCCCGTGTAAGTCCGGGAGGCTCCTGATAAGAGGGGAGCTCCTTCTTCCCCTTTTCTCTGGAGAAGATCAGAAATGACGTCATGTGCAAGCCACGTATAGGCTCCTTGCACTGACGTCACATCGCATACTTTTGAACACCAAGTAAAAGGAGGAGAAGGAAGCTGGTTTTGTAAGAATTTTGAGTGACAGGTTAATGTTCTATAATCTTCTGGGAGGAGAATAGCGACGCCCGTGTTAATCCGGGAGGCTGCTGATAAGAGGGGAGCTCCTTCTTCCCCTTTTCTCTGGAGGGGATCGGAAATGACGTCATGTGCAAGTCACGTATAGGCTCCTTGCACTGACGTCACATCGCATACTTTTGAACACCAAGTAAAAGGAGGAGAAGGAAGCTGGTTTTGTAAGAATTTTGAGTGACAGGTTAATCTTCTAGAATCTTCTGGGAGGAGAATAGCGACGCCCGTGTTAATCCGGGAGGCTGCTGATAAGAGGGGAGCTCCTTCTTCCCCTTTTCTCTGGAGGGGATCGGAAATGACGTCATGTGCAAGTCACGTATAGGCTCCTTGCACTGACGTCACATCGCATACTTTTCAACACCAAGTAAAAGGAGGAGAGGGAAACTGCTTTTGTAAGAATTTTGAGTGACAGGTTAATCTTCTAGAATCTTCTGGGAGGAGAATAGCGACGCCCGTGTAAGTCCGGGAGGCTCCTGATAAGAGGGGAGCTCCTTCTTCCCCTTTTCTCTGGAGGGGATCAGAAATGACGTCATGTGCAAGCCACGTATAGGCTCCTTGCACTGACGTCACATCGCATACTTTTCAACACCAAGTAAAAGGAGGAGAGGGAAACTGCTTTTGTGAGAATTTTGAGTGACGGGTTAATCTTCTAGAATCTTCTGGGAGGAGAATAGCGACGCCCGTGTAAGTCCGGGAGGCTCCTGATAAGAGGGGAGCTCCTTCTTCCCCTTTTCTCTGGAGGGGATCAGAAATGACGTCATGTGCAAGCCACGTATAGGCTCCTTGCACTGACGTCACATCGCATACTTTTGAACACCAAGTAAAAGGAGGAGAAGGAAGCTGGTTTTGTAAGAATTTTGAGTGACAGGTTAATGTTCTATAATCTTCTGGGAGGAGAATAGCGACGCCCGTGTTAATCCGGGAGGCTGCTGATAAGAGGGGAGCTCCTTCTTCCCCTTTTCTCTGGAGGGGATCGGAAATGACGTCATGTGCAAGTCACGTATAGGCTCCTTGCACTGACGTCACATCGCATACTTTTGAACACCAAGTAAAAGGAGGAGAAGGAAGGTGGTTTTGTAAGAATTTTGAGTGACAGGTTAATGTTCTATAATCTTCTGGGAGGAGAATAGCGACGCCCGTGTTAATCCGGGAGGCTGCTGATAAGAGGGGAGCTCCTTCTTCCCCTTTTCTCTGGAGGGGATTGGAAATGACGTCATGTGCAAGTCACGTATAAGCTCCTTGCACTGACGTCACATCGCATACTTTTGAACACCATGTAAGAGGAGGAGAGGGAAGCTGCTTTTGTAAGAATTTTGAGTGGCAGGTTAATCTTCTATAATCTTCTGGGAGTAGAATAGCGACGCCTGTGCGAATCTGGGAGGCACAAAGGAGGATCCCGATAAGAGTTGATCTCCTTCTTCCCCTTTTCTCTGGAGGTTATCGGAAGTGACGTCATGTGCAAGCCACGTATAGCCGCCCATGTCCGGGCAGTGGCTGCTAGTGGGTGAGGCCTTCCGGAAAGGCTTGGCGGGTCAGGTTGGAGCTTGGGGGAGTGTTGTTGAAATCAAGGGGTTTCGCACATGGGAGATGTGCTGCGCTAGGCGAAGTCAGAGGGCAGGGCTGAGGTCCGAGGGGGGAGTGGCCCGGCTCTCCCAGGTAAAGGGCATGTTGGGAGGGAGGAGATGTGGAAGGAGAAAGTGGGGAGATTGTTGGGCGCGTGGACAAGACCAGTAGGTGTGTCTCACGTCGGGATAGGCACACAGACCTGACAATGCGGGGTTCCGGGGCGGTTCACAATGTGGTGGGTTATGAGGTCGCACGGCAGGGAGAATATCTGTGCCTGACGAACGTATGTACCCTCGCGCCGTGTCAGGTTAGGCAGGTGGGAGGGGGAAGGGTACGGCGGGAAAGGCGGAGGTCTTTCGGGCGCTGTCTTTGAGCCTTGCGATGAGCGGCACGTTCCTCTTTCGGGTTGTAGTTCGGGGGCCAGGATTGAGGGCTGCTCGGAGTCTCGTTTGCGCGAGCAAGGGCGTGGGCCCTTTCATTTCATGCGGACGGAAGAGGAAACGCCGCGGAGAGCACAACGGCGAAAATGGCGGGAGGTATGGACGGTTTCGCCGAGGCCGTGCCGCCAGGGCGCGCTAGAGTATGCCAACCGGATGTGCTCCCAAGAAACTTCCGGTTTCTTCAGTTTCGTGCGCGTATTCGGAGAGAGGACGATGTTTTCGGCGTGTAAGTCATCTCCCTTGAACCGTGCACGTCGTGGGCCTTGCTGCGTTGTACCAGGGTGCAGTCTGAGATCTGGAACGAACCTTCTTTCGCAAGTGCGAACATTTAGGTTCCCCACAGAAACCGAGAGAAGGAAAGCCTGGATCGCAGCGGTACGACGGGACAATTGGCTGCTTACTAAGAGCTCACAGATTTGTTCTGCCCACTTCGTTCAAGGCAAGTATTTAATTTAGATTTTATCATCCCCTGCCACGGGTTCGGTGTTTTGAACGTTAGCGTTGCGAAACATTTCGCACGCAAACAAGCGTCCCGTAACATCGCCCGAGATGCTCGGGAGTGCAATCGTGAGTCAGCCGGCTTAGCCGCGTTTAATGGACCCTGACTAATTTCGAGGGCTAAGACTGCTGCTTGATGGCTCAAGAAGGTACTATCGCGGACTATGCCAGATTATGGGGACGTATTCGTTGTCTTTAGATGGTCGAGGCCGCGTCAGGAGCCATCGGGCACTTATGGTGCGCTGAAAAATCATCCGTTCGTGTATCCGACTCCGTTTCCAGGTGGTTTTCGACAGTAGCTAAAGCTAGGAACGAGTGCATCTCGGATTTCGCCTGTGCGTTCTTAGAGGATAAGTGCTTAGACCGAAAGCGCTGACAAGCTGGCCGACGCACTTCCCCATGATGCAGCTGCTGTCCAAAAGAACCTCGATCGGAGCCTAGTTTCAGGTTGTGTTATGTGGCTTCGTGTGCAACATTGCACTGCTCCTGTTTGGGAAAACTAAAGCATACGTAGGAAAGCAGCTGGGCCACCACATTTTAAATTACACACGTAAAAGTTTCCTCACGTGCGTGTGTCCGTGACACAAAAAAACAGTAAAAAAATGGCATAAAACGTAAGGGTGTGTCACTTTCTACCGTAACTTTTTTTTTTTAAGGAACATGAATTTGTGTCATAAATTACTCCTTTGCCCTTGTTCAATGAAGGAAATTCTATCAACATGTTCTCAGTGGTTTCCCCTCCCCACAATTTGTTTACTGCACAACTCTTCTGCAGAGTTAATATACAACTGTTACTGTTTCCACTGCACGCTTGCGTGTATTTTGTAATGTCTGTACATTTATGTCTTTCAGGCAGGCCATCTTCTGATGCAAGTCATCCTGACTATGTCCATACACTGTTCCCTTATCGTGTTCGAGGGAACCTCGAGCAGAAGATCGCACGGTACCAGCGTGCTAAGAACAAGCATGCGCCAAGTGGCCCCCCTGCAGTGGACCCTGGCCCTCCAACAGTCACCATTGAGAGTGTTGGCCACGAGGACAATGTTGAAAAGGCCTGTGACGCAATGACAGAAACAACACTTACTCTACAGGACATCTCAAACCAGATTTTGGAGAACAAATCATTAAAAGAGCGCATCATTTGTATGGAACAGGACTTGGCAGTCGCTAAAAAGAAGATTGCTGAGCTTGAGGAGGAAAAGAAGCCACCCAACCTTCCGGAAGTTACCAAAAGCACAGTCATGCAGTCTGACAAGACTGTGAAATTTTACACGGGGCTAGTGTCTACAGCCATGTTTAATGCCTTGCTGCAGTTTGTGCTGTCCATCTGGAATCCCCCACACAGGACATGCCTAGATTCAGAGCAGCAACTGATCCTAGTGCTCATGAGACTGCGACTAGGTCTTCTAACACAAGACCTGGCATGTCGATTTGGCATCTCAGCATGCACTGTAAGTGTAATTTTCCACTCGTGGCTCGACGCTTTGGCAGAGAATCTCAAGAAGTTCATCATCTGGCCATCTCGACGGTCGATTCAAACCCATCGTCCTCGAGCATTTCGAGACCCATTATTTGACCATGTCAGGGGAATAATTGACTGCACGGAAGTATTTTTCCAGAGACCAACTGTAATGAAGGCCAGAAGCCAAACTTTTTCCAGCTACAAACACCACAATACCATCAAGCTGCTTGTTGTGGTATCCCCGTCAGGAGCAATCACGTTTGTTTCGAAAGCCTGGGGGGGCAGGGTTTCCGACAAGGAGCTAACCTTACACAGTGGGCTACTTGACATGGTTGAAGAGGGAGATGTCTATCTTGTTGACAGAGGGTTCCGCTGTGAAGACATGTTTGCAGCTCGAGGCGCAACCCTTTTGATGCCCTCACTAACAAAGAAGCGCACCCAACTACCTGGAGCCGAAGTCACTGCGTCAAGGAAACTCTCCAGCGTCCGCATCCATGTTGAGAGAGCAATACGAAAGCTGAAAGTTTTTAGATTATTCCAGACCGAGCTGCCGGTAAGTTTCGTGAAAAGAGCTCTCGATGAGGGCTACGTGACCATATACAAGATAGCAGCGGTGTGCGGCGGGCTCGTCAACCTGCAAACTCCTCTCATCAACAGCCGCTAGGAAAGCTCGTGAGAACAGCTGGCAATGAAGGTTATGCAACCATGGACAAGTCAGCAGTAGTGTGTGGTGAACTTGTCAACCTGCAAACTCCTATCATCAACAGCCGCCAAAAAAGCTTGCGAGAATAGCCGGCGTTGAAGGCTATGCAGCCATGGACAAATTAGCGGCTGCGTGTGCTGAGCATGTCAACCTGCCAACTCCTATCAACAGTCACAAGGGCTTGGCTGTGCATCACTAAATGTTTTCATTGCAAAGGAAGCAACACATGGTGAAGTGTGAAGTCAGTGTGCCTTATAATAATTTCTTGAGTGCTAGACTGCATTGATCGGTAAATACAAGCATTTTTATTATGCTTACTTTTGGTTGCTGGGTGCATAATTTTCTTGACTACTAATTACGTGACAAATGAAAGTGCAAAGTGAAACACAGACGAGATAAGACACACGTATGACAAGGGCAGGCCTGCGCCTGTCCATGTCGTACGTGTGTCTTATTTTGTACATGCTTTAGTTTGCACTTTAACCTTTTAAACTACATAAACTAGACCAAAGTCTTTTTGCAACAGATAAAACCTGAACTCAAGCTGCCACCTTGACAGGCTTTGGCTTTTTTATAATTTAAGTCCCTTATGATCATAATATAAAATATTCACTGGTATGTACTGTACATGCTTGTTCGTCGAATTGTTCAGAACTTTTTGTATGTGTATAGTACATTCGGGGCACTTTTGAGCTGTAAAAATAACTTATAAACATACTTGACTAGTAACATCAAAGCCAGACAGCAAAAAGATATTCTTAAAATTTTTAATTGCATACAGCACAAAAAAGAAAAAAGTCCGAACAAATTGTGTTGACATTTAGTTGTCGCTGCAGTATGGCCGACAGTTTGGCATGCAGTGCACACCCATGATCTTGGTGTGCGTTTAAGGTTTACACACTTCAGATGGAAATTGTCACAACAAAGTTAACATTCAAGGCTATGCAGCCTAATTACATGCAGCAACACCAAGAAAAAAAAAAGTCCGAACAAGTTGTGCTGACATTCAGTTGTCGCCAGTACGGCTGACAGTTTGGCATGCAGTGCACACCCATGATCTTGGTGTGCGTTTAAGGTTTACACACTTCAGATGGAAAATGTCGCAACAAAGTGAACATTCAACAACACGGCCCGACCTAGCGCCATGGCAATGGCATGTTGTCCTCGCACATTCCATTTGCTTGAAGATTCGCATGGACTGCAGTTCTGGAAAGATGTGGTTAATAAAAAAGCACTCTGCTTTAAGTTTTGCAGCTGCCCAGAAATTCTCATCAAAGGTTATAACCTCAATATTTATGGGAGGTCCCGTAAAAACAGCAAAGTATGCTCGACGGAGCTTCGTAGCCGCCATTTGTGCTTGTACTTGGGCATAATAACCATGATCGTGCCTCAGCTGCAGGTTCTCATCGAGATAAGGTAAACGCTTAGACGTTTTAGTGAGGGAAGCACCTTTCATTGATGCAGCACACTTGACCTCCAGGACTGCCTTCTCGCAGCATGCGCAAGAGACAATGGCATCGGGAGATGCAGCTAGAAAGGGCAGGCTTCCTACAACAAACAAACCACACTCATTTAGTTGCAGGTCTTTATGTTTCAGGGACTCCTTTGCAATAAATGCTCGTTTAGGTTCTGGTTCCTTTTCGGAGCCCCAACGGAGGTTTGAAACACGAGGTGCCTCTATATGCCCCATAACCTCCGCAACAAGGCCATCGGCACCGCTCTGGCATGTAGCCACACGACCCAAGACAGACGCTGTTATTCTGCCCTTCCGTTCTTGCTTCCATCTGAGGGATCTTGATTGCCCGCGAGTGGCTTTCTCAATCTCAGTACAATGTGCAGCTGTTAGCCGAACTTCCTGGGCTGCTTTTAGGTCCATGTTTTGGTAAATACCACCAAGCGGCAACTGTGAGGGCGTCTCCTTGCGCTTGGCCGGTCTCTCTGGTTCTTGGTCAGCTGCTTCAGGAGCGGAGTCAGTTTCCTCGCTGTCCGTGATCGAGCACAGCAGAAGCGTTTTTGGGGCTAATGCCTATAAGAACAAAAACCGGATTAAAGTGTACATTGGTTGGTGACAATGTGTAATGCAAACATCACTGGCCAACCCTCGACCTGGGAGTTGAACCCGGATTTTTAGTGTAGTCATGCACAGTTACCCAGTCAGGATATTTCGGATGGCTAGGCACAAGACACTGGACTTATGAACTGAAAATAATTTATTTCGATTGTCTCACCTTTATTCGGTGCATGAAGCCGCGAACTTGTTCGTCTGTCCATGTCGGTACAGGTCCCCGTGGTCTCGGAGCAACTTGAATCACAGCCTGCCCTACCTTAGGCTTGAAGAATATGATGTCGCTAAGTGGTGCTGCCTGCATGCAATTTTGCAGTTAGTTCTTGCAGTTCTGAAAAAAGACTGATGTGACAGAGCAAAAGTGAAGACTTGAAATCATGAAAGGCTTACTACACTTTTTCTTGACACCTCAATCCACCTGCATGCCACATCAGTCGGTGATGGGTTGTTTAGCCCATACTTCACAGTTGCTTCAACGCTGAAGAGTAGAGCAGCAACGTGAGTACAGCATTCCCCCAGGCTGAAATCCACAACAGCATAAATATGATGTATTAAGTACCCAGAAAATGCAAGGAAAGCATGAAGCTCCATGTGTTGACGAATGTGACAAGCATAACACCATAAAAGCACCCATTAGATTAAAGAAAATTTCGCGCAACTTCGAAGAACTGCACAGCATCAAGTTTCATGACATGGCGGCAATTTGTAATTACATGCACTTATACTTTGATTATGCATAGCGACTCAAAACGATTGCCACTATGTAGATACGTGCAGCCTGTTCGCCAATGGTACATCAAAATAAAATACCTTAGTCAATCAGTGTTTTTGTGGGTAAACAGTGCCCGCGTCTTTCTTTTTTTTTCACGCAATTCTAAAGGGAAATCGGAAACCCAGACTCTTGTAGATATCTTAAAACTCGCGTGAGATCGAACAATGGAGTAGGAAATCGTGAGTTTTAGTAGATCGTGTCTACAGGGAACGATATTGCTAGCGGGAGATAGCGCTCCCACTTCGAATCACGTTTGTAGCGCACGCCCGGAGCGGTGGCGGGCCTCCGAAAACGATCTGCCAAAACTTCCAATCACTCAAATAGACTCTTGTGAATGAAGTACTCACCCGGCCATGCATGTGCAATGGGCACTAGTAACAGTTCCATCGTCCTGGACAACGCACCACGGTTGGTATGCTTTCGTTAGCGTTTGACTGGCCTCGACAGTTGCCGCAATGACGACGATGCCTTCCCCACGCTTGCCCGCCTTGAACGACACAAGCCGTTTCACTTTCCCACTCACAAAGGCGTTGTATGCTTCGCCCATCTTGTGGCTTTTGAACTGTTCCTTGGTATAAAAGCACACTCCTTCCACGAGATACATGAAGGTATCTGCTGCCGTGACTGGGGGGAAGTTCCTGGAGTCCGAAGAAAAGCTAAACCGTACCAGATCACCGTCCAGCGGGTCGGGCAGCTCTTGGCCTCTGAACGACAACTTCTCTCGATACCGATTCTGTGCCTCGATGTCGAGCCCTTTAAAATAGTCACTTGACATTTCCGTAGGCGAAAGGGTAAACACTCTGCACACTAAAATTATCACGCCGGTCGAAACATCGGCAACCCACCTCGTACGCACCATTGGGAAACCACGCAGGAAAAAACCGGAAATTGTTCGACCGGAAGTCGCGGGGGGGTATCCAATCAGCGTCAAGCGCCGCTTGTTTGCAAACACCAAAAGCGTCTATATTTCGAAAATGTTCGACTGTTGTGACAGAGATTGCAAGGTGGGAGCGCTACCGCATCCTATCAGGACTTCACCTGCGCAACGCAGGATCACGGGTGAGCACCTTTCTTCACGCGATGGGGAGAGAAGCTGGGGACGTCTTCACAAACAGACGCCAGCGGCCGATCTTCCTTCATCTCACGAATACTACCTCTGAAAAAGCGATTCAACCGTCGCAAGCAAGTGGCTAAACCTGGAGCGTGTACGTCACCGAACCTACTATTTAGTTTCATTCTCCAAGTTTTTGACAATAAAGTCTTGTCAACCCTCCATTTTTCTGCCGTGTTTCATCGTTGCTGGAGTTGGTACCAGCGGTAACTGGGACCAGTTGTCTGGTGGGACCAGTTGCAACTGGTGGGACCAGACTGGTCCCACCAGTTGCAACTGGAAACTGTTCCATAAACCAGTTGCAACTGGGAATTGTTCCATAAACCAGTTGCAACTGGGGCCAATTGGTCCCAGTTGAAAATTTTCGCCGCATTCGTGACGTATATATATACGTCACGAATCCGGGGAGTCTTTTCTTTCTGTTTTTGTTTGCGCCGGATATCCCATGACGCATCGCGCTCTCCGTTCGCTTCTCTTCGAGCGCTTGCTCGAGTGCACCGTTTGGAACGAAAAATAGAGCCAGTCGTTCAAGATACAAACGTGCGATTATCATTTACGGTTATTATCCGTCATGCTTGACTCATTTACGAACGAAATCTGAATATTTAAATTTTTGTTTCCTTACCCCTTTAAAGGGATGATTCAACGAAATTTGAAATATCTCCGTCATGTTCAAAAATAGGTTGAATATAATCCACAATATCCGTAAATAACAATCGCACGTTAGTATTTTGAGCCTGGTGGCTGTATTTTTTGTCATAAACGGCCCACTCTAGCAAGCGCTCGGAGAATGCCCAGCTTAGAGCACGTGACATCCGACGCAATCGTGACGTAGGTCGTCTCGGGACGAGCAAAGCTACTGCGAGGCTGACTTCGAGAGGATGGCCTAGTCGTTCCAGCCACCGAAGCGGCTGCTTTTGTACGAATTTTGAGTGACCGGTTAATCATCTATAATCTTGTGGACAATAGCGACTTCTGCGACACACAAAAGGCATTCTCGGGAAGACGGGAGT